AGGCTTTAAAATTTAAAAATATGTTTAAAAAAATAGATAAGCAGATGGAGAATTGTACCAACTTAGAATTTATAAAGAATCCAATGGAAATTCTAGAACTGAAAAAAATAACCAATATTAAGAATACAACTAGATGGGCATCTTAGTCACTTTCCTATCACTGGACTCAATACCCAACACCCATAACTTAAAGGAGAGGTTTATTTTAGCTCACAGATTTTACAGGATCCAGTCCATGGTCGGCTGGCTCCATAGCAGGAAGGGCATGGTGGAAGGGTCTGATGGAAGAGAGCTGCTCACATCATAGTGGTCAAGAAGCAGAGAGAGGGGAGGCCCAGGGACAAGAACACACCCTTCCAGGTTCAACCAGGCCCCACCTCCTAACAGCACATGCAGCTATGACCTCAACAAGCACACAGCACTACTGGGAAATGGTGAGACCTGGAAGAGGTGAGGCCCAGTAGAAGAAGTTGGGTCACTGAGGCTGAGCCCTTCAAGGGGACACTGGGACTCCTGCCTCTGCTCTGCCTCTCTTTGCTTCCTGGCTGCCAATGTGAGCAGCTTGCTCCACCATGCACTCCCACCATGATAAACCGAGCTGCCACAGACCCAAAACAACAGGCCAAATAACCATGAACTAAAACCTCCAACACTCTGAGCCAAAATAAACCTTTCCTCTTTGTAAATTGGTTACCTCAGGTATTTTTTATAATAAGACAATGCAGGGGGCCGGGGATTTAACTCAGTGATTCTGCCACCTGCCTTGCAAGCACAAGGTCCCGAGTTCAGATCCCCGGTACCAAAAAAAAAAAAAGACAAAGCTGACTACATATACCCATCCAAACTTTTGGATATGCTTATTCTGAAAAAGTATGCACTATCAGAAATACAAATTTAATAGGATTTCTTTATTTCATCTGGCAAGGTCAGACACAACTAAAAAGAGGATTCATTATGCCAAAATATCCACAGTAAAGTATAAGGACCAAAAAGGATGGAAAATATTTGAAGGAGTGAAAGAGATGGTTGAGACTTGGTGAAAGGTCTAAAATACACAATATTAGTCTTAGAAAGGGCCAAAAAGTGGATCAGAAGCAATAGTTAAAGCAGCAGTAGCTGCATAGTTTCCAAGCCTGACTCATGAAGAAGAGAATAAAAACAGAACAAAATACCCACACACCTAGCTCCATCAGAATACAACTGAGTAACAAAGAGAAGCAACCTCAAAGCCACCAGGAAAAAAACCCCCCACATTTATCTTCAAAGATTCAGCATAAACTTATAACTGATTCAACATAAATAATGAAAGCCAGAAGCTCAAGGGATGAAAATGGAAGAAAACAATTTCCAGCCTAGAGTTCTATTCTCAGTGAAAACACCTTTCAAAAGTGAAGCCAAAATAAACACATTTCCAATCAAATAAAAACTAAGAGAATGCGTCATTAACACAGGCTTAAAAGGAAATAGCAAAGGGAGTTTCTGAGGCAGAAAGAAAATGATCCCAGGCAGAAACACTGAAATGCAGAAGGGAACAGAGCAAGAAAGAGTAAATATACTAGTAAATTAAGTGACTACTGGCTGCTTAACATGAATAATACTGTTAGTTAAGTAAAGTTAAATGAACCTAGAATTGTAATTCTAATGCATGAGAACAAAGAGCAAATAGTGGAACGGGATAAACGGTGTTACAGTGTACCAAATCCCTACGGGGTAAAAAGAAAATATTACTTTTTTTGGACTCATGAATGCATGGTGACATCACAAGGATAATCACTAAAAAAAGAGCAAAAGAATAAGTAGCAAATAAAGGCAAAAGTTGCAATTCTAAAACTATCAGATTGAACAAAAACCAAGAAAGAGAAATACAGAACAGGTGGGACAAATATGAAAGAAACAGTGAGATAGCACTATTAAATGCATTAGTAGTTGCATTAGATGCAAATAAACCAAACACTCCAATTAACCTTCTTAATAATCATGCAAATACCGTTATTTGCATTTCCAGTTGAAAGAGCTGAGGCACAGAGAAGTTGAGTAAACTCCTCTGGGTGTCCAGCCAGCAAGCTGCTGCGGAAGGATTGGAGGCCGGCACCTTACCTCTGAGGCGAGGAACGCATGTGTCTATCCAGTCACCTGCTCCCCTCCTCTCCATCCCCACCCCCCAGAGGACTGAGGTCTGCCCTCATCTGGGCCCAGATTCCTGCAACAAACTCCTAACTGGGCTCCACTGCACCACACAGTTGTCATGGTGGCCGTGCTATGGCACAAACTGGAAATCTTCTCCCCCTAAACTAAAATCTCTTCCTGGATTGCCATTTACTTTAGAACAAATGTAGCAGGTCAGAAAGTCCTCTAAATGACTTTCTGCTCCCTCCTCATCCACTGCTTGTTTGGTTTTTGGGGGGGAGGGGGGGTTTCTGGTACCAGGAATTGAACTCCGGACCTTGTGGTTGAGAGGCAGGCAGCGGAACCACTGAGCTAACTCCCCGCACTGCTTCCTGTCTTACATTTCACCAAGACTGGACTCTTGGGGTTTCCAAAAAGTACAGCAGTTTCCCCTGCCTAGAACACGAGCTAGGCTCCATTGCTCCCGCCAGACTCAGAAAGGTGGCCCCTCCTCCCATTGCTATGGTTACAACTATACATGGCACCACTCCCAGCCCTTTCTGTGCCTAGCACTGTGCTGAGTGCTTTAGGAGCATCATTTTCATTCAACCTTCAACTCTACGTACAAGTACTTGTATTCTCCATCCTGTAGACAGGAAGGTCAACTCAGGACAATTAAGTAGATTACCCAAGTCAATACATTCACTGTCAACCCAGCAAACATTTACTAAGTAAGCACCATGAGCCTGGATAGCAGACCAAGCTGCCAGCTCTCATGGGAGCTAGCTTATGCACTACCCTAGTTGGTTATAAGTGAAAGGTGGAAAATAAAACGGCAAAAGGAGGGGGTGTGAAGTGGGTTACAGTGTTTTGAAAAGGGGTGGAGGCAGGCCTCAAAGAGAAGGTAGAATTGAGTAAGATGTTATCAAGGAGAGGGAATGAGCCATTGGGGCATCTCAGAGAACATGGTAGACCTGGAGGGAAGAGCAATGAGTGAAGGGCAGAACTCAATGAAATGTCATCTGTCAACCACTTGGACCCCTGAGCAGTCAGTGACCCCTCCAGGCATGATCATACACCCCCTGTTGGACACAGGAGGCACTGCCAAAGGACCAGGAGTTGATTTTGAGTGAGACAGTACACTGGCACCTTCCCCACGTGACCTCTTGTGGACTTGAATCCTGAGGCTGGTGTGGCCCCTCACCAGTCTACAATGCACAACCCCCGTTCCTTCCACTCTCCACTCTTGGAGAGGGCAGACCTATCTCACAACTTGTCCCTGAGTCCTTGAAACTGGATGTGTATACTACAGGCCTCTATGGATTCTTTCTAATCAAAGGGAAGGCATAGGGGACACAGAGGAGATGCCACAGGCCTCAGACCCCACCAGTAGCAGGGAAGCCTGATTCTGACAACTAAGGTCTCACATCACCTTCCCACTTTGCTCAAGAAAGATGGAGCTGCTATAAATCCAAAGAGCAAGCCAATCAACGCCATAACCCTGAAAGGTCGAAGATGTGGAGTGCCAGGCTACTGAGTTATACATGCAAAAACCTTATCCTGTGTGTAGTAGATGCTAGCAGGGAGTAGCAACACAATGACCAAGACCAGAGCAAACCAAGATAAATGCCAAGGTTCTACATGAGTTAGACTCAACCTATGCAGAGAGGAGAAACTCCCAGATGACCAAGGTGGAGATGCCTGGGAAAGGGAACAGAGCCACCAAGGAGAACCAGGACACCCACGTGGGAGAACCCAAGGAGGGACCTACCTGGGGAAGAACAGGAGTAGCAGAGCTGAGGCACAGGCCTCCAGCTACTTCCGGCCAAGTCAGTGGCCTTCAGTGTCAGGCGGGGCACTGTAAAACTCGGGAACGTGTGGTCCAGGGCAAGGGGCTTTATCACACCATTGCTTTCCTCAGGTTGAGCAAATATTTAAAAATAATCCTCCAAGTTCTAGGGAGACAAAATGATCCTTCAATAGTTGCATAACTACTAAATCTATTTTATGTCGTGAACACTTTCAGGCATACAAAGCCTCTTAAATAATCAGCATACTACAGTTAAATTCTCCAACAGAACCTAGAGCAAAATTTCACCATTGAAAACTAGACAAGTTAGTTACCTGTGCCTGGGGTTTTTACAGCATGTAGTTCATGCTGGTTCTTGGACAAGAACACTGACTCCCTAATCCAACCCTAAACCATAATGCTGTGCTTTAGGAAAACAAGATCTGCTCTGTAATCTGGATTCAAGCTTGGGGAACATACGATGGCTGGGGGTACTCACCTGAGAAGAAACTCGTGCTGACACTTCTGCCCAACCCAGCATTTCCACACTCTGAGAAAAGCCTAAGAACCTGTAAACTGGACTTTGCAAATATTTGAGAACAGCGATCTCTACTGCCCCCAAGTGGTCATACGTGATGTGACATCTCCAACAGCCAATTCTGTCCTGAAGGGAGAGACAGCTGGAAAGGTGTCCTCACAATAGGACGGTTAAACACCGAGGTATTAAACGTCAGGGGTAAGACAGGGTGGAGAAAGAGTGGTCCCCTTTCTATTGCTACTTTCTCCAACCATAAAAGTTTGATGGGACAGGAAAAACAATACAGAATGCTAAAAGTCTGTTGAACTGAATTAAATGTGAGTTCTTTCTTGTCTGGCTCCATGTCCCAGAACAAATTGCCTCTGATAGGCATATAATCACTAATTGCAAAAATTATATAAGCACACGTGTGTTTTTGTAAACTTTTACACAGAGTATCTGAGGTATCCTGTAACTTGCTTTTTTATACTGAACACACCAATTCAAGAGCATTTTGTATAGGTTAATGCAGTCAACATTAAAAGGATAGAGGCTGCCATGAGGCAGAAAAGACCAATATGGCTTGAAGAGGGCATTATGTAATAAATTTATTATATTTTGTTACATTTTCCACTTTTCTCTTAATTCCAACTGAATACTATATAACTGCTGTTTCAGAAATAAAATGTTTTAAACATAAAAATATAAATTCTGTTTCTTAAAAGTGCATACACCTTGAATAACAAAACATACAAATAAATAACAGAAGTCAGTGACACATTTCATGCACTTGGTCTAAAATAATTTAAAATGTATGATACTTTTTTCCAGCCCCTAGGAAAGACATCCTGCCTTCTATTTTATTGTACAACTAAAGAAGAAAATGACACAGAATTTTCGATGGTGCATGAACAATACCAAAGCATTTTGTGTACAGTGACATGACATGCAGCTTTTAAGACAACTAGAGAAATTCCAGTGTAAATATGAAAGAAACTATTTCGGTAATGGGGCCTGAATTCAATTTTAACCAGTGGTGACAGGCACAATTGGTGAGCAAACCTATACGAAACACAAACGCATATTTGAAAGGCCTACAAAGAGAACTCCAACTTTAGAAACACTGTCTTTCCATTTGGTATGACACCATACCACTTAGAATAGCACCTGGGAAATCTCATATTGCATTTTCACAATCATAAAACATTTCACTACTCTAGAAGGCCTTTCTAAAGAAGCATTTCCAATCTGGATTTTCCCTTCTATCTTTACTTCTTAAAATACCAGGTAAACTGTGTTTATATTTGTAGGCAGCATAATGCTCAAAAAGGATGAAACTGCCTGAGCACAGTAGATAACTTTGCAGATGTTGTAGTGCGTTCAGCTCACCACAGATTAAAGTTAAATTTCATTTGCCTCCATAGGTTAACATAAATTGGCCAAATTTTTGATGTGTACTACTTGATTTTTTTAAAATTACATGAAAAAATAGCAACAAGTTACCAAAAGGAAAAAAAAAAAAAAGATTCCAAGTAAAATGTCTCATATTCACATTCAAACTAAGAAAAATTCCAGAAACTACATTCTGCACGAGTAAGAACTACAGGAGAGAACAAGCTATGTAGGAAATCAGCAGCAGCCTGGGAGTTGCTATTTTCATTACTACAAAAAGACAATCGTTCTATCAAAAGCAGGGACAGGTTTTCCAAGGCCAGAAAGGTTTTCTATTTTCTCCTTCCGTATTTTTAAACTTAGACTTCCCTCCTCCCCAATGGGTCTCAGGCCCACCATGGAATCCAGGAGAAAGGCCCTGGGGAAGGACACAGATCCTTCTGTCACTTTGTCCACTCTAGCAACTAAGATCATCCATTTCCACCACCCTGGCAGGCATCAAGCCACCCACAAAATGCTCCACACTCTGTATTCCAAACAGGAGACTGGTATCAGTAGTTCTTTTATTTTCCTCTCCAGAAGAACTGAGGAATTGGGAGTCACTCCTGAGTACTTCGTGTATGGCAGTGATTCTCACCATAATTCTCAGCAAGGGGATGGTGTATCACAGTGGTTCTTAATCCTGACTGCAGATTAGAAACATGCAGGAACCTCAGGATACGTGGTGATTCCTGGACCCACCTCTATGCTAATTAGGTCAAAAGCCTGGGCGGTGGATGCACACGTTACAAGTTCCCTAGACCGTCCTCATGAATGCTGGGTATCCCCACAGCTGAGTCACTTGGAACAGGCCTCAGAGAATCTCAGGGGGTTCGTGTGAGACTCAAAACAGCTTCTCAAGTGAGCTACGAACCTCCTTCTCTCCCAGTGGAAAACACTGGTTCTAAATGAGCATTAGATGGATCCAGGCCCAAATCCACTGTGCAACACTATCATAAGTTTCAGGGCCTTGTTCTTCCTGTGATCAGTGGGAGGGAAGCTCCAAAGCTTTCCAAAACAGCTCTAAGTCTCTACAAAAGCATGTGAAAATTGTTAGCACTGTTTGAGTCCGCATTCTTTCCTTGTGACCACAATAGAACTCTAGAAGATATAAAAAATTAAAATCTATAGAAAATGGCAGGTTATTTTTAGAACAAAATACTTTAGGAAAGTCTTCAGGCTAAATACAGTATGTACATCAATGTGTATGCTCAACATACCTAATTCCACCCCTGCCTGCAAAATTTTTATTTTACACACAATCTCGCCAATGATTAAAAATAAATCGGTAAGGAGAAATATATATATAAAGCAAACCAAGAAGTCACATTCATGCTCATCTATACTGATTAAGCCACATTTTAAAAATTACAAAGTCAAAAATAGAGCTCCATAATCTAAGAGTTGAGTTCTTAAAACTTAACATTTAGTACAGTCTTTTTTTAAATTGGTTGTTTGCATAGGTAGGAAGAGCATGCTTTCTTGGTTAGATGGAGGGCATGCAAAATTGTTTTCATTACTCGGGGTAAAAAATGATTGGTCATGCTCAAAATGCAGCAGCAAAGACACTTTGGGAGTTGATCAAAGGGCGTATGAGACACTGAGTATTTATTTAAATAAAAGCATTGGATGACTCATCCCCAAAACATGTAATCAGATTAACAATAATGTATCCTTTATGAAATTGAAGGCAAAATAGCCTGCACACTAAAGCTGTTTTGTGTTTATGACAGGCACTGGTTTGTCAGCAAATTTTGACCTTGTCAACTACAAATATAAACTCCAGTGTGCCTCCAGAATGCGTTTTATTGAATCTGTGCTTATAATTTGCATCCTATCTCAAAAACCCAAGCCAGGAACACTAAGTATCTTTGTTATCTGATAACAACCATCTATAGAAGAAACAGTAACTTGCCAGAATGTTCAGTAATGTCCAGTAATTTGTCAGAATAAGAGCATCAGATGTCCATCTACTTTTTAAAAATTTGAAATAGACGAGCTTGGTTCACAGCTTTTCTCTGCTTCGTTTTCCCTAAAGCTGCCACTACTGTTCTGTTTTTTCAAATGATCATTAGAGGGAAGACACCCCCCAACACACACATACACACACACACACACAAATCGACACATCTACCTCATACAAGCATGGGTAGATACACTCTAATGTTCAGCGACTGCAGAATGGGTTTTTCAATCCCTAAACAGCACAGACAGCTCAGTCTGAACTGGTGGATATGAGTGCAGTATCTCCAGAGAAGGGCACTTTTGGTTTCTACACAGAACATACGTGCTCGAGAAGACCACAAGCCTTAGCCAACTGACCTGAGCCCATTAGATCTTATGCTGAGAAGGAGCATCACTGCTTTAGGACATCATCAGCATCCTCTGCTGGATCAGCTGTGTCCTCCGGGCTCCTTAGCTACTCCAAATCCCTGAAGCTTTCCAGCTTGCCTTTAAATGTAATGCAGGCGCTCAATGAATGTTTGCAAAACATATGAATGATGAAAGAATGACTTCAAGAGTTTGAGGCAGCCTCACAGAGAGGACAATATTTAGCAAACTACAAAGACTCCCACATTCACTTTTATTGGACCAGCATATTACTTTCAGTTAGGCTATTAGGAGGAGAAAATACAGAGGGAGGAGGCCGTCGGAGACAACAGGAGCTTACAGGTTTCCGCTCTTCCACCTGTCTAAGGGATTACAGAGGTGTAGGGCTGTCTTAAGAAATGGTAGTCTCAATGCACTTCATTTTTACAGAAAAAGAAATCAAGAATAAAAAGGTTTATGTTTTTTCTTTAGGCAAGCAAACACTACAAATCCAAGTTGGTGATTATGTGGTGCTTACAGGAAATGCAGTGATTAGTTGGTGCCTATCAGGAAGTGACTGCACTAATTAGGCCCATCTGGTTGCTGACCAGAAACCCAGGCTTTTTGCCCTTGGCAGACCATTTTTAACCCTAAAGCTGGTATGTGTTCATTGTGCCAAATATCACTGGAGGGAAGAAAAACAAAAAACAAGTCTCTAACCCTCACAAAGAACTGAACTGAGCCGGGTAACAGTGTTCCCTAAGATATTCTTCAAAGAGCATCTTCAAACTTCTGGGCAAAATATCCTCTTCTGTGCCTTCAAATTATTCCTAGTTGTTAGGAATAGTGAAATTTTCATTGTTTACCAGCCATGGAGATATAATAGCTTAATGATTCCTAGATAATGCCATAATACTGATTTTTTTTTCTATTTAATTAAATTTGAAACAAGAACTAAATTCCATAGACATAGTTATAGATTTTATTATAGAAATTTTATTCTAGGTCCCATGGAAAATTAAAAAGATTTGTGGAGTTTTAAAAGAAGACATTACACATAATAAAAAATCCATTCCTACAGGACTACAGAATAAAAATGTTTACCACTGTGAAAATTAAACTAGTTTCTACTAATGCTTAACTGACTAGGGAAAAAAAAAAGTGTTATTAAAATCCCCTGGCTACTATTAAGAAATTTCAAATGAGAAATTTCAAATGAGACCTAACTCAGAAAAATTCAAATGAGATAAACATTCAATTCTTCATAGTGATGGTCCCTCATTTGGTGGATCTTTCTCAGGAAATAAAAGCAACACAGGAATGTTAGAGTGGAGGCTAAACAATGATGAGGCTGTCAATGTGCCACGGGAAGCAATGATAATATCGATGGCAGAGAGCACTGTTGCTCTGGAAAGCCACCAACATCACAGGCAAACCCAGTGAAGAGGCGAGGATGGGAATGAGTGCAATGGGCAATGGGCAATGGGCTCATGTTCAGTGAATTACATGGAGCAAGACAGTAAATTACCAGCTAATCCTCAAATTAGCAGCAACATAAAGTTAAGTAACCCACTGGAAATATTTCCCAAGAGGTATTCATGGAAAAAAGAAACAGAAGAAAAGGAAAAGGCAGCGCAGAATTCACAGCTATCCATGCTTATGTGTTGTAGTTACTTCATACACAGCAATACTGAGAAGGGTGATGACAAATGGATCTGTGCACCAAGAGTTCAGAAAGAACTTCAGGAGTCTTTGACAAAAAAAAAAAAAGTAAAGCACATAAACTAACTTAACATGCTATATTTTATATTTTATGGCAACTGAAATGCTATTCAAGAAGAATCAGGACTGTGACTCTTAATATTAAGAAAAAATAGAAAAAGAAAAGCTAAAACTTGAGCAGGAAAGTACTGCCAGGAGACCTCCACAAAGCCTGAGAAAGTATAGATTTTGCTCATCTGATATTTGTGAGGCTCCCCCTTTTCTATTAAAAAAAAATGCAATTTGTACTGACAATGCCAGATGGGATATTCTCCAAATCCTGCGTGCAAGATCTTGGTATGAAATTAAATCCTCAGCACAAAGAAGACAAATGAATTACTGAAAGGCGTCTTCACAAAGACTGACACAGGCAGGATCCAAAATGCGTATTAATACTTCATCATACATCGCTTCCAAACACCATCACTGATTCTTGGCAGGAGGCAGTTTCTTTCTAAATTACAAGATGAGGAAACAAGCATGCAGACAAGGTGCAGCGCGGAGCCTTCAACTTCTAACAAGAAAAAATCAACACCAGAGAAAGAAAATGGTATCGACCCATGCCTCCGGTTTAGAACACATTTCTTTCCAGGTTTCTTTTAAAGGTATTAGCTGCTCTGCTACACCTCAAAATCCCAATGGCCTTAGCTAGCAAATGTAGAAGGAAAATAATTTAACTAGTGACTGGCTTTCTGGTTATCCAGTCTGCCACCTTAGGACATATCCCAAGTGTTAAGATGGGGCAGGGTACGCAGATCTCTGCAGATATGAAGGTAGTGAAAGATTTCATGTTTACCTCTGAAACTTCCATCTGTGGCAGTAAGAGAAATGACCCAGTCGCTCACATGTCACCTTCCTCTTAAATCCATTTACTGATGCACATCCATCCTGGACTGGCTGAGTATTTATACCTGAGAAACATTAGTGTTAAAATATTGCCCTTTACAAAGACTAGTAGATGGGGTGAAAGTGAAGAAAGCAAGTTTTTCCCTCTGTTTTATTGTTAGCGTCACAATTTTTAGAGCTCCTGGTGCCGCTCGAAAATTCCAGTGAGGGCAGATCCTGCTCAAATGAAACGCAAGTCAAAACCTATGCACTAATGATAGCTTAACTGGCCCACAGGCTTCAGAACCCTAGTGTCCAATGAAAGTCATCAGAGTTCTCTACAAAGAAATATGTACATCTGCTAAAGGAGCTGTCCAGGGTATCATCTACAATTATTCCAGTTAGCTTGGCATCGATGCTTTGCCTATGGCTGTTATTTGGTTCAACGGCAGAATAAGGCGACGCTTTTAACAATTTGCAATTGAATTGTCCTCATACATACACAAACGCGCACGCGCACACACACACACACACACACACACGCACACAGTCAGGCATATTACCCCCAAAAATACAAAACAAAAGCATAAAGGGCTTTGGTGGGAGGGGGAGCTTCTAAATAAATAAACATCTTTACAGATAAAACACTTGGGGACTGCAGAAATATCACTGAGGTTTCTGAGAAGGCCGTGCAGAGGTTTGCATGCTAGCAGGTAACTTTTTGGAGGCTTTCTCAGCAAACTGCCTGCCACTGGGAGACACAGGAACTGCAGAATCTAGCTGGGAAGACTTGGATTTTCGAGCAGACAGCAGGGAATGTTTAGCAGAAGGAGGGTCCTTGGAGACAGGCTCCTTTCCAGCTGCATTTGCATTTGGCTGCAGGGAGCCTGGAGTCTGGTAGCCTTTCTCGGCCTTGTCATCCATAACATTCTTACCAATCGACTTGACAGAGCTCCCACCAGCCTTTTTAGAGAGCAGGGTTGTCTTGCCAAGATCGGTGGACCGCCGAGTTTCCTTCTGTCTCAAGGCGGACTTAAAGAAAGACAGCCCCTTGTCCTCAGACTTGCTATCTCTCTTCAGACCGGACCGCATGCTCGTGCTAGGGGAGCGCAGGCTGGCCATGGAAGAGCTCCGGACATGTTTGCCGTCACCTCTGCCTTCCCCCACCCTGGCCTGGCTCACCCGTGGAGAGCTGGGTTTGGAGCTGGAGGTGACGCTGGCTCTATCAGAACCCAGGCTTTGTCTGGAGCCCTCTCTATTCAAGGTCCGGTCTGAAGTCCTGCTCTTCCCAGGAGGGAAGGGGCCCCTGGAGGCAGGGCCTGAGGCTTTTTTGGCAGACGTAGAGGAAGCAGTGTAGGCAAGGGCAGCAGCTGACTTCTGCTTCTGTGGTGAAGGAGATGACACAGAGTCCTGGGACTTGGAGGACGCCTCCTTTCGGGGTTGGCCAGGGGCAGGGGATGAATGCCGCCCACTGGCCCTGGAAGATGAATCTGCTTTGCTTCGAGAGCGGGAATGCTTTAGAGAGACTTTTACTGGCACAGGAGAAGAAGGGGATGTACTTGAAAGAGAGGAGTCCTGGCTTGCCAAGGCTGGCCTCCCCTTCCGCAAGCTTTTATCTGGCTCAGAAGTGCCTTTGGAACTGGGGGATCTCTTGGTTGTGCTCTCTGGTTTCTTTGTGAGTGAGCCTGGGTGGCTCGGGGGCTTCACCTCTTTGACTGGAGAGCTGTCTACAGAATCACTCTGATCCACATAAGCAATCTGATTGTTGTTATCAAATGGATCAGAGACTGGAGGTAAGTGATCCCCTTGTGCTAGGTTTTTGCTCTGTGTATCTACAACACTGGAGTTCAATTTTCGGGTGTCTGACTCATCTCTGAACACGCCTTCCATGACAGCCAATGGGGCCCGGCCCACAGCTTTGTGCTCACGCCGACCGTGGCTACCGCTTGGTTCCTGGTAACTGCTAGAAAGATTCCTCAAACTACCAAAGCAAGAAATGGAGACCTTGTCATCCACTGCCTCCCCGATCTTCTCCAAGGTGGAGGCAGAGCTGTGAACTGGAGAGTCCCCTGAGAATCGGGAGGGTGAACTGGAACGCAGCTGCAGCTTAGCAGACAGGGACCAAGAAGGTCTCATGCAATTTTCATTGACGGCCAGAGGGCTGGTGACAGAAGATCGGGATGACAAGCTCTGACGCTGGACACTTCTCACAAATGGTCGAGTTGAAAAGCCTCCTGAACACAGCAAACAGAATTCTGTTAAGCTAAACCAACAAAAACATTCTAGCAACGTTGTAAGATACTGCATACAGAACAAAGGCAAGCCACTTGGAATGCTAAGAACATGGCCTTCAAAGCCAGCCTGTCTGGAATTAAAGACAGCCTTATGACTTCAATCTTTTAGAGCCCAGTTCCCTTACCTATAAACAGGGACATCCTAACATAGAGTAAGCAAGGTACTCTCGGGACCTAGCAGGAGTCAGCAGACTTTCCCTGAAAAGGCCACAGAGTAAATTTGTCAGGCCTGCAGGCAAACCACTCAACTCTGCCATTGAGGCACAAAAGCAGCCACAGGTGACAAAAACAGGTATGGCTGTATTCCAGAAACCTTTCCTTACAGAGAATGTGCCATATGTGGCCTGTGGATTGTAGTTTGCCAACCACTGGTCTAGTGTGATAATTAAATAAAATCTTAGACATCCTGTGCCCAGCAGAGTACCTGGTGTTCCACAGACGCTCACTAAACGTGAGCTGGTAATCCAGCTTCTTCATGTTACTGAGGGACACCTGGGAGAATACCAGAACCCATCACCCTGTGACCCCCTCTCAATGCCACATGCAAATTAGTTCCTAACAGCCAACTATCAAAGTGCATCATTGGGAAGAACTAGAGACTTGACACAATTACACCTATCCTGAGTGACCTAAAACTGCCAAAGGAAATACTCATAATTACAACAATATAGAATACTTGTATTTGCAGCAGTTTAAAACTTCCAAAGAAAACATTCTAAACTGAGTTACGATACACACTTGATACTGTGGCTGTGGCATTTATGAATTCCATCTCTATAAAACCCTATGACCCAGGCTGTGGCTGGGTCCTGTGGCTACCATCCAGCATCATTAAAAGACGATGCTTGGGAGGACACATTTCTCCAACCACAGTGTTTAAAAACAGACTGAGGCAAACCAACTTGGGCTTATTGTTGACAGTGAATTCTAAGTTTCCAGGCTGGTTAAAAATAACCTCTACCTAAACATGCAAAGGTTCACTAGTTGGCTTTTCATAAAATGTTAGGAGCTACAAGGAGCTTGGCCATTACAGCCTGATAATCTTATTTATAAATAAGAAAGCAACAGGCCAGAGAGATGGGGGAACTAGAACCGTAACGCTGATCTAATTTGGTCATCTTCTTCCAACCTCTTGCAACTTTAGCTCCATTTCATTTTCTCAAATTACCCATCACCACTAGAAGCAGATTATAGCGATCAAAATGCTGGCTGCAGAGTGAGACTTGTTGGAAGATGAGTCACAGTCCTCACTGAGAGGTTAAGCTCACTCTCTCCTCCTTCCACCTCTCAGCATTGGCTGCCTGATCCTTCCCACACCTCCAGGGGTCCCTGTTAGAACTAAGGTCTATCCTGCCATTACTTAAGCAGGAAGGCAGTTATAAACAAATGCAGAGGGCCGGGGATTTAGCTCAGTGGTTCCGTCGCCTGCCTCGCAAGTGCAAGGTCCCGGGTTTGATTCCCGGTACCAAAAAACACAAAAACAAATTCAGAGTTTAATTTTCATCAGATTTTCCCACTTTTTATATTGTAGCTATGTTCGGTACCAGAAGTCTGAAGCTAGGAGAGTCAGGGACCTCCTCACCAGGTTGGGAACAGAGCCTAACCAGATAATCCTGGACAAGGTACAACTTCCCTAAACCTTTAAAGCCATTCTGAGGATTTTTAAAAACACTTTGGAAAAAAATGTGTACATTATTATACAGAGTTAAAGCTTGAGTCTGAACACTAGACTATGAGAGTGGAAAATAATGAAGTAGAAGTAAAAAGTCCTGGATCACAGAGGAAAAGACAACAACCCTCTTTATATAAAATGTTATTTGTTATGATCATGACCCACAGCTATGCAGCCACACTCACTATAGCCCCCTTTCAGTCCTCCCACAATCTCTTGGGACTTAGTTCATAAACCTGAGGGACCTGGTGCTATGCCAGTCGGTTGCCACTTTGGAAATCTGTCACCAAAACCCACACCCACCATCATCTTCACTTCTTTCCCCAGTCATCTCCACAGACTCTGAGAGTGAGGCCAGGGAGGTGCGTCTGGAAGAAGCTGCTGAGGTCACGCTGGCTTGCTTGCTCCCTGGGAGCCGGCTCACCCAGTGTTCGCACAGGGAAGAACTCGTGGAGCCTGCAGAAAAGGAGGTGGGCATGGTGGTCAGCCAGGATCCAACAGTCAGACTGCACTGCACATACCCTTGGGAAGGTGCCACAGCTGAGCTTCGGGTCCTGACATTCTCGCCGTAGGGCTGATGTACACTCCCACAGCCAAACAGAAGATGAAGAAACAGAAGGCAGCTCCAACACACAAGATTCGCAGGAGTAATAAATGCAAGGATAGGGAAGCACACCTCAGAATGCAATGTCTGAATCTTAAGAGTTGGCAGGAAAATGGAATATAGACAGTCATTCACACATTATCCATTCTATAAACATTAAGCACTTACAGGCCAGGCACTATTCTGCACACTACAAGTAATATTTCTTTTTTCCTTTTTTTTTTTTTTGGTACTGGGGATCAAACTTGGGTTCCTGGGCTTGTGCAGCAGGTGGCGAAACCATTGAGTTAAATCCCCGGCCCTAGCGGTAATATTTCTAATTCAAGGAGAGAACAAACAACAACACTTAGCTTAACTGCCTTATGGAATTTAAGGGGCAGGGGGACAGTGCTAGGAACAGAACCCAAGGCTTGTCTAGCACATGTGAGTAAGTGCTCTACCACTGAGCTGCATCCTCCCACTCCCTATGGAAATGTTTAACCATTTCATAATAATACACACAATATACATAGCTATGTGTCAATCTGTCTGTTTTCGGGATGCCCTTAAATATGTATTAAGACAACAGAAAGTGCTCTTGAAATTGACTACAATTTCAAGCAGGCGTACTGTCTCAAGTACACCTCAACAGTGTGTCATTTGTAAGCACAACTCTGGAAACCACAGGAAGCCTTAGAGCACTGGAGCTCCGACTTCCTGTCAGGAAATGAGCAGCTACAGACTGGGTGGGGTTTGGCTCTAGCAAGGGGTCACTTGACTTGAGTAAAGCTCCCTTTCAGCTGCTTTGAATTCAGTCTTCACAGGCTGGGAGAGGGGTAGGCATTACCATTTTGTCACCTATCCTGTTGACACTTTACCATTTTACAGTCCTCTGCTGTGTTCTCTTACAGTCAAACTCTGAATCAGGAACATATGCACCCTGTTTGGATTATGTGTGCTGCACACATACTGTGTGTCGGGATTCCCTGGTCTATTTTATTCCCCCTCCAGTACTGGGGATGGAACTCAAGACCTTGTGCTTAGGAGGCAGGTGTGGTGCCACTAAGCTAAATTCCCCAGCCCCACTGCTCTGTTTATTAATGGAACAGGCTGGATACCATGCAACTAAACACAAGCCACCTAATATTATACCCCTCAATCCTCCTAACAAAACAGCTCAACCTCTGAATTGGAAAAAAAGACTATTTTTAATAGTTTCCCCCTTTACAAAGTGTTCTTCACATACTTTTACCTAATTTAGTGAGTACCATGATCCCACAAGGTAGGTGTTACAATCACGTGGCTCAGATGAAACAAGCACTGAGGTAACCCAAGGTGGAGGTTTCAGAGCAGCTTCTCCACACACTCATGGAATCACCACAGGGAAGCAGCACAGGCTCTGAGCCCCATCTCCACATGAGCTCTGCAGCCCACAGGTGCCCTCACAGTCCACCCTCACGTCCTTGGCTGCAATCATGTGGGTTTCCAGATTAAAGGGAAACATGAGAATTAATCTGATCAAACTGACAGTCATGAAGCCTTCTGAGATCCTCTGGACCATGAATTATAATCTTCTGCTTTGGAAAAAACTGACGAAGAACAGGAGTCAGTCTTACCTGCCACTGAGCTGTTGGCCGACCATGACGGGATGGCTGTCCGCCTTTGGTAGAAAAGGATGTAGGCTGTCTGTGTGCACACCTCGTCTTCTGACAGCTGCTGCACATCACTGTCATCAAAGCAATACCAGAAACCATCCACAGAGTTCTTACAATAAGCTGCCAAAAGGAGCCCACAGTCAGTACCAGGTGGAAACCACACCCACCATTCCCTTTTACCCACAGACACCATCTCTTCCGGTAATATAATTAATTTAAGAACTGTTTAAGCCTACACATAGTAACACAGAGTTTAAAAGAGTCCAAATTCCGTATCACTCTCAGGCAAAATATTTTGAGAAATTCCAAATTATTCCAAGTAGACACATTTCGATTTCATCTTAGAAAATACAACATACTTATTTAAACCACTGGATCTCAACTATGCAGGGCCGGGGATTAAATGCTCAGTGGTTTCGCCACCTGCTGCGCAAGCGCAAGGACCCGAGTTTGATTCCCCAGTACCAAAAAAAAAAAACTATGCCAATTTTGCCCTGCAGGAGACATTTTAATTGACACAACTGGATAGGAGCATGCTACCCGCATTTAGCTGGTAGAGGCAAGGGATGCGGCTAAACATTCTACAATGTACAGAACAACACAGAATTATAAAGTCAAAATGTGAATAGTGCCAGAGTTAAAAACCTTAATTTAAGCATTTAACATTCTAGTGTTTAATTAGAGATACAAAATAATACAAATAAAAATAATATTAATAACCCAGCATCTAACTTCTGTTTAACACTTATGCCAAGCACCTCATTTTAATTCTAAGACTTGAAGACTTGTTTTACTATTATTCTCAATTTAGAAGTCCAAAAACACTACCTGTCATGCCCATGGTCACACAGCTGGTGATGGGCGGAGCCTAGCTCTTTTCCAGTCTCTCTGATCCTTGAGCTTTCACTTAAACCTCTGCTCTACCTTCTAACAATACTTCATAGGAGTTCCCTAGCAAATTGAGAACATGTAAGCTCATGAATGTAGGAGGCCTTCTCTTCAGTTCAGACTCTAAACTTGGAATAGAAATGGAGCATTCAAGCATCAATAAAAATTTAAAGAGTTTGCAGTTGGAGGCGTGGGCTTGGCATGCAAAAGTCCTGTGTTTAATCTCAAACACACCTCCCCTGCAAGGCAAACTTAAGAGTTCATGAAGCCAAGTCACCCTGTAAGGACTTTTCAAGGAGTCTTATAAGACTGATCCAAAAAGGCATGTTACCATCACATTTTCTAAAAATACCCATTTATTGGAGTAAGATCGAATGAGTACCAGAATATCTAGCCCAATGCCAGACTAAACAGAATTAGTATGGCCCCAGGGGCAGAGCATGTAAGGTCCTGAGAGGTACTAGAAGTGAATCCCTCAACAAGCCACACAACTTCAGCAAGCAGAGAACCCTAAGACATGAAAGGGCCCCAGACAAGGAAGGGTTACTATAACAGACAGGTGCCCAAAAGGAGATCAGAGAAAGAATCTATGAACATGGGGAAAATGTCATTTGCAGCTAAGGACTCTCCACAGCCAGAACTGGGGAGAAATGGAGATACAAGCAGCAAACAGAGCTAAACCTTGCTTGGCCAATGGTGTCAGGTCAGGCTGATGTATAAATGCTCCAGCTGGCAGGGGAGCTCCTATTCTGGAGTGGTGAGTGGGAGCAGAATGTAAGGTAGGAGCTATAACCCAAGATAAGGGGGTGCAATAACCTTGCTCTAGTTTCAGTCTATTTTCCTTAAGGATGATTTGTTTTCAGTTATGGCGTGGAAGCACAGTAACTCATTTTGGAGCAAATAATGTATCTGCCAAAAACCATTCTGTTTGCTTTCCTCCCCAGCACTACCTTCTGATTATGTTTTCTAGGTCAGTGCCATTCGAACTGCGGCACAGACTGGCATCTGTCCACAAGGGAGGCACCAAAAACAGAGAGAAGCATTCAAAAGCTTTTAGAGCAACCTGATACTGCTATAGTGTTTTTATTGTTTTTACAAAAGTACTGGCTCATGAAGGATTAGAAAACCATTTCGTACAAAAAACAAAGTCTTCATCCCAGAAGGTTTGAAAAGCACTGTTTAGAATCCTTGCATAAGTCAGCCATACACATATCATGTAATTACAGCTAAAACTAGGGCAAAATAAAGAACACATCAGAATAAACATGCCAAATGAAAAGTTAAAAATCCAGCATCTTTAATTCAACAATGCTGAGAGTATTTGAAGTATACACTAAACTAAGACTGTAAATATTTTATATACCAGACAACCAGCAGTATAGCTTAAGTAAAGGAAAGGGAAAATAATATAGAAACTATCTGAGTAACTCCTAGGTAAGGGGTCCTATGAGGCAGTCATGCTAACTTTCTGCTTACCACTGTGGTACTCAGGTCAGACAAGGTCACCTGGACAGCATCACAGAGCCGGAAAGATGGATCTGGCTTCTAACCTGAGCACCTTTCACTAAATTATACTGCCTCCAAGGGTTTGGAGGCATTTTCCAAAGACTGTTCTAAATGAAGGGCAAAAGGATATGCTAAAACCCAGCACTGTCCTATTTTTCCCCAAAATTTCTTGCTCAAAAGCACATCACAAGCCAGTCTATATTTTCCTGAGGAACTGTTATAAATGGAAAATGACTTCTTTACCAAAGCTTAAGCTGGATAAATATCAATCAAGAATGCCCACAATGGTACACCAGGTAATCAATGAAATTACATCAGATAATCGATGAAATTAAATTACTTGTAGGCCCTTTTTCATTCTAAGAGACTATTAGCATATAATTCCATGACTCACTATCAAAGAACATATTACTAGTAATGACACAAAAGCAAAAGTCCAAGTAGCAGAACTTTTATACAAGTGGCCCTCACAAAATATAAACATAAAATACATAAGACACCAAATACAATATCATAATTCAAATGGTTTTAAGTCAAAGTACAAGGCTAAGATGTGTCTACTAATTAGTCTTCTATGAAGTCAGAGCACCTCTGGAACCTCCCTATCATTCCGTTTCTCCTTGCAAGTCTTCCTAGGGCAAGGGGAGGCTGACCAAACTGTTGCACTATGACACACTGAAAAGTTGAGGTTATTCATCTCACAAACAAGTGCTGCCAGCATCATCTAAATATTTAAAGAGGCTGAACAAAAAAGATTTTCAGAGTAAGAGATGGCATCCAATCATCTTCCTGAGCCCTGTCCTAGGAGGGGAGGGAGAATGTGTTGGAAGAGGGCTCCTGAAGGGCTGGGAAGGCCGTCAGGCCCTTTCCCTTGGTGATGGCGGGGGGGTTGGGGGGGCGGTCAGTGTCCATGGCTAACTGCTAAGGAAAGAGTCTTGGGGAGCACAGCCCTTTTATCTCCCCTTACCTTTGTAAATATATGGTCAGCACTAGTGTGCCAGGGTCTTGCTACAGAAACCACAGAACTGATGAAGTAAAGTTCTTGAGAAGTACTGTGTGAATATATTGAGTATAAAGGATGCAGAAATCATAGTCCTTGGCCGCCCATACAAATAAATCAAACTAACAGCACTGTCCTCACTTCAACTCTCATATAAATAGATGTCCAGGCAAGACGCCCTAAAATCTGCCTGGCCTTCAAGTGGTTTTGCATATGCTTAATCTAACAATTCCATTTCCAAAACTCTCAAGGAAATTCAGAACTAAAATTCAGAAAAAGTGCATGCACACAAAGATATTCATCAGTGTTAGATGATAGGGATACATCTAAGAAATGTGGTGTTGGGCAATTTCACCATCTGAACATCAAGAGTAGTTATACACACTAAGACAGCTATAACACCCCAGGTGAGATAATCTTAGGGTCACTATGGTAAATGCTGTACCTCTGTGACCACTCCCTCCTCTGGTCCCCTGCCCCTACCCACTGTTCAGACTTCCACCACAGAAGCTACCACTCTTACTGCAAGTTTTACTTTATCGATGTCTCCCCTACTTGATTATACTCCTGAAGAAAGAGGTTGAGACATATTCATCCCTAATGTGACAGAGGCCACTGCAAGCTAAATGTGACGTGCCTAATGTTCCCTTGAATAGAACATACCAATATAATGACAACAGTGTAAAATAATAGCAACAATTTACAGAAAACACTGGCAGTATATGCCACAGGCAAAGTCTTACCTATATACAACACAACATTATTCAGCCTTTATTAAAAAGGAAGAAAATTTTGATGCAGGTTACAACATGGATGGACCTTAAAGACATTATGCTAAATAAAATAAACCAGTCACAAAGAACAAATACTGTTATGATTCCACTTATAGGAGGTACCCAGTCAAATTCATAAAGACAAAGAGTATGGTACTATCAGGGGCTAGAAGAGAAAAGAATGGAAATTATCCTTTAATGGTATAGAGCAGTGGTGGTGAACCTATGGCACATGTGCCACAGCAGGCTGTTTGTTATCACTGAAAGCTCTAGAAGGTTCGCCATCACTGGTATAGAATTTCAGTTTGAAAAGATGAAAAAAGTTCTGGAGATAAAGAATGATGATAGTTGTAAAATAATGTACTTTAATACCACTGAATTATACACTTAAAATGGCTAAAATGGTAATTTTCTTACGTATACATTATCACAATTTTTTTAAATCTTAGCAATGGTTATCTTTAGTGGTAAGTCCATGGATCATGATCTTCTTTCCACCTCTCTCTAATCTCTAAATTTCATATGATGAACAGAGTTGCTTCTGTAAATGAAAAAGTAAATTTCCCTTAGAACAAAAAGAATAAAGACACCATAAAAGTGGCTAAGTCATTCTAAGTAAGGCAGAGGCTAGAATCTCAAAGAAGTAAAGCGAACCCTTAAATGAGGAGTGCAAATGGGATAAACAGAGTGAATCCCCAGTTGAGCAGACAGAGTTACTCATACACACATTCTCCAGTCCAATCGGTTAACTACTAAATGACCCAACTCAGGACAAAGAGGGTCTGTAATACTCTTGCTCTTAGGTAGAGACCTGGAGGATGAAACCACCCTCACAACTGGTACACTGCCCACTGGAAGAGAAAGGGAAGTTCTGAAGCCAAGTAACCCTACTAGGAGCAAAACCCGCCTCAAGGAATGTCAGCACAGACATACGGCCTCTCACACTGCAGACCTGTGTAGTGCCCCCCTTGCATGGTGCCATGATGATTGCACACAGCATACAGGTCATAGATGTAGTCCTCAGGGTCCCTCCCGAGTCCATAGGGCCTTCTCCATGGGGACCAATGGGATGGCAAACTCCAGCTGCTCTGGCTTCTCTTAACCACATGAGGTGTCATGTCCAGGCCAGTCAAGGGAAACTTGACCATATTCTGAAGTTTCATACGCTTGTCTCCTTCCTGTCACAAGAAGAAAAACAAGTTCTGATGATATTTTAATGCACGTAGATGGCAGATCAGTTCAGTGTAGAATGTGGACGCTATTCGCTAAAGCAGTCTGAGTCACCTATCTAACGTTTCCCAAGGCACACACTGTAATAAGGGAAACAGACTAAGAGTTTCAACTGTCTAGAGCAGTGATGACAAACCTTTTAGAGCTTTCAATGATACAAACAGCCCACTATGGCACATGTGCCACAGGTTCGTCACCAGTGGTCTAATGGAACATGTTTTAATACAACTAAAATGGAGCCAGTAAGAATCTATATACAGAGAGTAAATGAACCTCTCTGAGTCTTCATTTCTTTATCTGTTATGAGTGTTCAGGTTTTCAACTTACAAAATAATGGACAATTTCGGGTGGTTATCCTGATACCTCTGTCAGAGGCATGAAAATTAGTGGAGTGGTAACTACACGAAGGACACATCTAGTGGCTGACCCAGAGGAGCCACTCAATAAGCAGTGCCTCTTTCCTCCTTCCTCCAACAAATACATTACCAGTTCACACTGACTTAGCCTCATACATCCGTTTAATTGAAATCTTGAGCAATTTTTACTTTCTATTAAGAGCACAGGATAATCCTTTGAAAGCCAACCACTAGTTGAACAGACATTTACTACATGTTTCCTGTGGCCTGTGTCAATGGGAGCTTTATAAAACTAATCAGACATAGATATGTCAACCCCAAGGAGCTATAGATCTATTAAGGGAAGAAAAAATTCATAAAAGAAAGGAGAATGGGTTCTAAATAGTCAGGAAGGCCAGGCTGAAGACTGTGGACCTTATTCTGTAGTGAAGGGGGAAGCACTGTGGCTTTTATGGAGGAGGTGACGTAACTGGAGTTCTGTCACGTTAGAAAGCAGAGTAACAGAGGTTAAGAGATCAATTTTAAAACACTGTAACTGGGACCAGCTGCAAACAAAAAGTCTGAACTGGCAGGGTAACACCAGGAATGAACAGAGGGAGACACACAAAGATTCAATGGAGAGGCACACCCAAGCTGCAAGTGACTGCCTCGGTAGGAAGGATAAGAGAGAAGAGTCAAAGACGACACTCAGTTCCAGGTTTCTGGAAGGGAGATGATGTGCCTCCAAAAGAAACAGAGAGCAAGGGAAGTCAGTCCATGAGGGGAGAACCAGACAGAGAAGGCTGGCATCCAAACCCTCAACCAGCTTTCCCCTTGTGGAGCCCAGTGGAAGTATGCTGAACACTGAATCCCTATGCAAAAGCCCTGGCCTCTGGGGCCATGTGTCACCCCTGCCACTCTGCTTCCTCAGAGGTCCTGCGCATGGCTCAAGCTGATTCACATCTCTAACTCCAGGGCCACAGCTCTATACCAAGCCAACAGCAGCCCTCCCTAGATGACTTCCATTGCCTCCTCCTACTCCCCCGGCTTCATTCTTATAGTCTCTCTCTCATCAGCTCTCCAGACAGGAGCCAGAACGACCTTTCCAAAACAACCCCAGCTCCATCACCATTCCACCCTCTGGAGCACCAGCCCGAGTGGCCAGCTTTCCGACTCATGTGAGCATTGTGGTCCTCTGAGCCCCAGACTCTGCAGACACTGTTTCCTGTGCCACTATAAGTGAGCATCACAGCTCCCACCTCACCTGGAAAACACCTCTTATCCTTCACAGACATCCTTAAAGCCAGACCTGCAGACTCTGCTCACCTCCTGTTTACCTTTCTTACATCAGGGCTGTCTGAGAGAATCGTGACCTCAAGGAATAGACAGGTTTTTCTGGAAAAACTGATACACGAAGCAACACAACAAAGAGCTTATCTTCTCTGTATGCGTTTATGACTCATCTCAATGATGCAACAGCTCCTTGGGAGCAGGAGGACCCTCATTATTACATTAGGTAGGAATAGAATTTTTTCTCCCCCAGAAAGAATCTCTACTTTTTTTTCTTAACCCCAAGTAAACATATCAAACTTTAAGCAAAACATCTACAAGTCTAAAGCAAACTCTCAAGACAAAGTAAAATATCTGCAATATAAACTAAAATATTTAGGACTTTAAAGGGTCACAGAAAGCTCAAGCTTTGGGAAAAGAACAAAAAAGCTTGCTTTGGGAAAGAACAAAATACAACCCCAAATAGGGGCAAACATGTGTCTGCATATACCCAGACAGGTTGACTGGACCAAACAGGGACACTAAAGAACCCACACACCACCACCAGGAGGGCACAGGAAACCCAGTCACGCTAGCCTTTCCTTGTGACAGGAGATTTCCTTACCTGGCGAAATCTCTTGAGGTGTATGATAAGCACATCGGGCAGAGTCCACAGGCTTAGTGTTATGCTCCCCTGCTGCAGCTGCTTACAGTGTGGGCAACGCCAGGCATCATCTGGGGCAAGCTGAAAACAAGGAGCATGACTTCTGTTACGCATTGCTTCATGCAAGGCCTTGAGAGACAGCTAGACTAACTTCTTGTCCAGGCCTTGAGACAACTCAGGATCTCTCTGGAAACTGCCCATGAGGAAGCCAGAGGAATAACAAACACAATCACAGGTGGCACTTGAGCAGTTTGTACCGGAACGTGTGCTGACCAGATTTTCCTTCAAAGAGGAACAATTAAACTGGTAAATACCTCAGAGAGGATGTTAGGTGTCACAGAAGCACCCCAGAGTCAGCGTACCCTCAAACTCAACTCGGCATCTTTCCATCAACACAGACCCTCCTTCTGTTCCTGATGTCCTATCTTAGCAAACACCAAGGCTGCCCACCAAAGATGGAACACACAGAATCATGCCAACTCCAAACCCTTCCCACTTCCCTTCTCTTGCTCCATGTCTGTCCAAAGTAATCCTCCCTCTGCCATTTCTTGCGCCTGTCTCCTCCTCTGCATAACCACTAACACCACCTTCACTTCAAGTCCTCACTCATTCTGTCATCTGGACTTCATCGATCCTGTTTCTCCCCTAAGCACTGAATTCTCCAAATAATCCTCCCCTCCTGCTATCAACAAAATCTTTCTAAACATCGATCTGAGGCCCCCAAATCCACTTATGTCATCTCTGAAGGGACAATTTCAAGATGAGGATGTATTAACTCAGAGATGCTAATACATGAGAAATTCATTCTGTCTTCAGAAGATACACCAGATCTGGGATCATCAATATAATGAGGTAAAGGAAGCTCTGGGAATGGATGACATTTCGCATTGAAATGGAAAGGAGCCAAGGACAGATTGTGGAGAATGCCTCTTTTTAAGAGAAATACCAAAACATGGAGGGCACCAGAGCCTACAGATGCAGTCAGAAAAATGGGCAAATTAGAAGCGTTTCCTTTGTACATGCAAGGAAAAGAATGGCAATGAGTGGTCATCAGTGCCACATCCAATGCAGAGATCCAATGCAGCCTGAGCAGAGGCTGAACTCAACAAATGAGGGGCCTCCAAGAACTGCGGAGAACAGTATCAAAATGCAAGTCAGAGATATGACAGGGGCAGGGTACGGGGGGCACTTAAGGTAAGGTTGGGCAGAACAAAGGAGGAGAAAGACTGGTATCATAACTTCAAAGACAAACGGAACTAAGTACATTTTATTTTCATGACAAGGAGACAAGTCATGTTTGCAAGAAAGATAGGGACAGACAGAACTTTAGGCAGATGGACGTAAATCAGAAAGACTGCAACTAAACTGCCATCTGGTAAGCCCACATCTCTATGTGACATATCAAAATCCCCTGTACATGACCATCCAACCCAATCTTGTAATACAGAAGAAACAGGTTTTTGTTTACCTAATTCTAATATATTACAAACAGATACTTTCATAAAATACAGTAAGAATACTGGGACAATGTCTAACTGCTCTGAAAGTTTCTGTCTGATCTCACTGTATGCTGCTGAAAAGCTCCCAGGCCTGCAGACCACACTGCCATCCCGCCGCCTCCTCCTCGTCTGTATTTATACTGCTATTTTGGGCCCAATACTGACTACCTGGCAATGAAGGGAGTTAGCTCAGCAGACAGTAATCCCATCTTCAGATGGCCTGCCACAAAGGTCTTCCACATTCAGAACAAAAGCGTGCTCCTTGACATTTGCCATCTTTAGACTCTGCCTTTTATAGAAAATTAAGTTCAATCCCTTGTCAACAGCAAGTGCCTGAAATTAACTATTAGATCCCTTAAGGCCTCCTTTGTCAAAAGTTTGCTAGGCATGACTTCCAGGCACCCCACTCCCCGCACATTAATGTCCCAGGTTGCCATCTCTTAAAGTGAATATTTAAGCAATTAAAGAGCAGTGCTGTCACCATCGTAGTTCTGGGCACTGTTTCTAATGCCTGTCATGCAGCATGACAGTGGCTCATGCCCATGTGGCAGTGCTGATCAATACTGAGCATGTAGACAGCTACACCCAAAGTAACTACCATGCAGCCTACTGATAGCTAAGTCCTTCCTCCTCCTCTTCTATGTTTGTAGTATTATTTTGGCCCCAATATTGAACTTCCCAAGTACCACTCATGCATCCAGTACATGTTTACTGAACATTTCCCATGTGCCAAGCACTGTTCTAGAACACTAGAAAGACAACTGCTGCTCTCTTGGAGCTCATACTGTCTTAATTCTCCCTTACCTCTGATGTTCCAGTCACACAGCCTCATTTCTGTTTTATAACCATACCAAGGTCCGTGCTACCCCAGGACCTTTGCTTCCACTTAAATGAATGAATCCCTCTGAAATCTTGCAAGCATCAACTAATCATTCTAGGTCAGTGAGATGTTTGTGGACACCAGTGGTGTCATCTAATAGACCTGCTCACCTCTAACCTTTGTGGCATTATTCTCAAACATCTCCCAAATCACATATTTATCTCCCAAGCGATAAATAGAACAGGGTGCCACACACAGTCTACAGTCAGTCACTTTAAAAGCCAGCTACTTTATAAAGCCCAAAGCTGAGAAACCATGTCTCATGAAAAACTATTAAAGGAACTACTACGAATAGCTTGGAGGCAAGAAAATTTTTCAAATATCTGAAGAAAAGTAGAAGAAAATTGCGAGTTTTGAGTATGAACAAACTTGAGAGAGAGCACTATCTCAGTTGTAGTAACCAGGAGACATATTGCAGGTTAACTTCAGTCACTGTCAGAGTTATCCAAAGAAAAAAATGGTGTAGGCAAGCCCCTCAAAATGGAAGGTATTCAGAGCAATCACCCATCTGAAATTAGGGAGACAGATCCAACCATTAGAAAACTAGTTTTAAAGTACTCTCTGATCCTGAAATTGTACAGGAGTACAGGAGTAAAGAATATGTACTCTTATGTACAGGAGTGAAGACTAAATACTAATGTTCAAAGTCATTATCCTAAACATCCAATACAAGATTAGATAAACTCCAAGTGCTCTGCCAAGGTTTCTTTTTTTTTTTTGGTACTGGGGATCGAACTCAGGTCCTTGCGCTTGTACAGCAGGCGGAGAAACCACTGAGCTAATTCCCCGGTCCTGCCAAGGTTTCTTAAGGCACATTAAGACCACACATGCCTAGGCCTCACACACAGAGACTTTTCTATCGCTCTATCTGTCCGTCCTTTCACTTAAATATTTATTGAGTCCCTAGCGGCTGCAAAGCACTGGGCTCAGTATTCCAAAGCACTGCTGTCCTAAAGAACTCTGTGCCTGCACAGTTCAGTACAGGGGCCATTGTCCACACGTGTCCACTGAACACTTGAAATGGGGGGCATGCAACTAAGGAAGAAGATTTCTAATTTTTTGTTACTTTAATTAAATTTAAATGGGTCCCTCACACCTAAGTTCTAAGTTGAAAAACACTGATTTTTGTCACTAAGGAAAATAAAAATTCTAAATAGAAAAGAAATCATCAACCATTAAAAAGAAAAAAATGACAAAGATTCATTTCTAGAGCATTCCAATCTACCAAAAATCTAAACTGCTTTTTGTCAAAGTCTTAAAAGGAGCAGCACTAAGATGAAGGTTGCATGTGCATAAACCTATGGAAACGCAAAATGCTGGGGAGTTTTCTGGGGCAGATTTTGTTTCTTCACTGTCATCTTGTCATGCCCCCTACCCACCATCCTCAGCACCCAAGAAATGATGCCCAGTCTCTTACCCGCTCCTCCTTGGTGTAGAGTTGGAAACACTGGGATAAAGTACAGGTCTGAGGCTGATGATGACGTTCCTTCTGTAGACGGACACTTTCTGAGTCAGGGATGTATTCGTCTTCAGTATTTACAAACAAGCTGCAGTTAGAGGACAAAGCAGTTATCAGACAATTTCTTACAGGAAAGACACAAAAATGCAATTGTAGCTTTACAAAATAGCTATGAATTCATAACCAAAAAGATCAATGTTTAAGAAAGCAAAAGTGGTCATCCAATCCTTCTACATGTTCTAAAATGTTCTCCATCTGCAAAGTTATCTTAAGAACTAACTTGAAGATAATTTTTCTGGGATTATCCACAAACAGTGCTGACTAAATCATTTCTGTCCTTTGTATCTAAGGGCATACATTTGACATAGCTTATTAGAGCTGATGAGCCAGTAATAAAAATCAAAGTAGAGCCGGGGATTTAGCTCAGTGGTTCCGCCGCCTGCCTCACAAGTGCAAGGTCCCGAGTTCAATCCCCAGTACCAAATAAAAAATAAATAACTAAATAAAAATAAAAATAAAAGTAATTGTACCTATATAGTAGTTAATAAGTATATGGCTTCTCTGTCAGCAGCAGATAAATGTTCTAAGATTTTCACATAGGAAGACCATACAGGAAAGGAAACTTAGCTAAAGAGGTGAGAGATTTATGTTTCAGATAATTTGGAAGATCAAAGGTGTGCTACTAAAATAATTAAAACAATGAATGAATAAATATTAAGTTAAAAAATACTCACAAGTCTTTTGTCTCTTTGTCCCATTCTACTACTAATTTCACATGAGCAGTACCACCTGGTCCACAAGATTTTAATGCCCTATGGAATAGGGAAACCACATATTACCATCTAAAAAATGATTTCACTTAAATGTGATTATATTCTTACCTAGAATCCTGTGATTACTGAAAAATCTTCTTCATAGTTCCCCAATAGAAAACATTTTTAGTGAGACTATTATGCACTTGGATTCAGTAAGTAATTTACAAGTGGAATGAAAAATCTTTAAATTAAAATTCCATTGCAAGCGCAAGTTCAATCCCTGGTACAAAAAAAAAAAAAAAAATTCCCAATAGAGAAATAAGAAGATTGGGAAAAACTGGTGTCCCATTATAAGCTGCCCTCAATCACGCTTTTCATTTCAACTTTTGCCCAATGTCTTACCCACACAGAGACTGGACAAGAGCTTCCCAGAACAGCCTGATCTCCCACTTCTCCACCTGCTCCACACTCCTAGCTTAACACTGGTGCCCACGTGGACCTATGCTGCGCCTCCCTCCTCCCTCCCTCATAAAAGCAACACCTTCCGCCCCTGCTCACTGGCCACTGCCATCTCCTGAGAAAACCTTTTAGCACTCACAGTTAATATCACTCATTTAATCTTTCTTATGCTGTACAATATTTTGAATTATAATCTAATCTGTTCTCGTCTCTAAAATCAAGGGGGCTTTCAAACAAAACTATGTTGTATATTTTATTTAAATCCTGAAATGCAGACACTATATCTGTTGAAAAATTCATAATAAAAACATGAATTTCCAATCTATATATCAATATACATATAATATAATTTTATTAATACAATAGACCAACAATAAGCATAATAAAATACATAGAAAGCATGAAGTAGCAAAGAGAACGAATCCACGGGAGGAAGAGAAATACTGTAAAAGCTTGAAAGAGCGATGGACCCAGGAAACCACACACGCAAAGGCACACATATAAAATAGTATGGATTTTCAAGCAGTCCTTTGATACTGTAGAAAGTTTAGGGTAGTGGGGAAAGAAAAGGCAAGGTCTGACAAAAGGGAAATAATCAGAGTTCAAAGGGTGAAGTTTCCTGTACTATGGAACTTGGGCTTTATCTTTTAGGCCACAAGTTACCCTTTCAGGGTTTCTGAGAGGAACAAGGCACGCACAGAAAGCTACTCTGGGAGGTTGGGGATTTAGGTCAATGGTTTTGCTGCCTGCTCCACAAGCGCAAGGTCCCAAGTTTGATCCCGGTACCAAAAAAAAGCTGCTCTGGAAAACAATCTTGATAAACACAACAGTGTAATTTATCTGCAGTCCCAGGACATATTTAATTTGCTTTCCTGAGTGCTCCGTGACTTTTCTAATTGTAACAAAGTACATACACTTCATACTTAAATATGAATTAAAAACTAAGTAATTTCTAAATGAACTTAAAACACCTAACACACTTACATAGGAATCATATAATGCATCACTTTAAATTGTACACAAGCGTATGTGAAATTCTAGAAGGTGATTTTTTTCTTACCTTTCTACTGTCGGGTGGCACAGGGGCTGCTCCTCCTGGGGCAGCAGGTAGGTTATTCCCACAACACTGACCACACGCAAACTGAATGGACATACCTGCATCAAACGTCCAACGGAAACTGGACTCAATTTCTCTTTAAGGGCATGTGGCATTATAGCAAACTGTTCTGTAAAATGCTTCTCTATAATACTGTTAGGTTGTTGAGCCGTCTTAATATACTTTATGATTTACCCAAATGCAATTTACATATTAAATGTTACAGAAAACAAGTAATACACCACTTGCACTGCACATTAACTTAATGGTCTTCCACAGACACTTTAACATAGCAATAATTTAAATGTATAAATAAAAGTTCTACTATAATTTCTCCAAGCTGAGCACATACTGAACTTTGTTAGATAAATATTATAAAAGAAGACACAACAGTTCAAGGAAAATCCCACAACAACCAACTAGCTCCTTTTATAAAATGACAGTTAAGTTCTCAGTCTTGAAAATCTGAACAAAACAAATTCAAATTTCATTGTAATGACTGTTTCCTCACTGGATACACATGTATGCTCTGCTGAAATATCAAAATAGTTACACACCTGAATGCAAACAGTAGGCCTCAAGAAATACTTCATCTTTTCCAAGATTTCCTTCTGTAAAAGGTCCCATGCTATTGTCTTCTCCAAGTGCAGGACAAAAGGCAGTCCAAATCTATCACACATAAATACTGTGATCACCTTAAAAGGACAGCAATCCATTATGGAAGGACAATATAATTGGGTTTAGGACAGAATTCAAACAGGAAATTCAATGGTAACTCACAAAGAGATGATGAAAAGGTCAAAAGAAAAACTTAGATTTCTAGCTAAAATTGAATAGCTTATACACCAAAATGGCTTCTAGGGAGACTAATGCTAGGCTATGAGGTAGCAAGGGAAAAGGATTGAGAGACAAGGAGGAAAGGAGGTAGGAGTGGCCAGGAGTCTGGGACACAGAGTGTCAAGCCTACAAGGAGAGAGGTGACACAGGAACAGGTAAGCCTGTAAGACCTGATGGGCAGGCAGTCATTACCTGGTAGTTAGACAATAAGGGAGGCAACAAGCAACACTGCCAGGCAGCTCCAGCCTTAGACCAGAGCCGTCTGGCCTCGGCCAGGCTTCTATGTGCTATAGAATCAGAGGCAGTGCTGAGGTTCTCAGTCTCAGCTGCACACTGAAAGCACCAAAGAAGCATCAAAAAAGTGGTGCCCAACTCCAGCCCCTAGGGATTCTAATGAAATTACCTGGAATGTGGCCCAAAGACTGAGTTTTGTTTTGTTTCAAGAGCCCCAGGTGATTCTAATATGCAACGGAAGTTGAGGACCACTAGTCCAGCCTCAACTTTCATCCATGCCCTTGTCCAGTGGTGGCGAACCTTGGCACATGTGCGACAGCAAGCTGTTTGTATCACTGAATGCTCTAAAAGGTTCACCACCACTACCCTAGTTATTTAAACCTATGTGCTGATCTCTAAGTATGTCCTTCTCTCACACATCCAGGTCTTTGTTTCAGGTCACTCACTAAGGCTGGAACAGCCCTTCTACCCTCCTTTTAAGCTGTCCCCTACTCATCCACATGATGATCCAATGCAGTTATCTTTCTCCAGGAAGCACCTGGTTGGTGTGTTCCTTGTGGGGACCACAGCACTAACTACACTGTGCTGTAACTGCCTTCTACATTGCTGTCTCCACCAACAGACTGCATTATCTGACAGCAAGAACTGTGGTTTACTTATCCTAGTAAACCAGAACAGCCAATGCCTAGAAAATAGTTGATGTGAATGAATGAATGAATGAATGAATAATTTATCCAATTAACTCTGGCTCAGGACCAGGCTGAAGCAGAAGCGCTAAAATCACCAAGAACTCATTCCCAATACCCATTTAGCTGTTACCTCATAGTAGTACTTAACAGTGAACCTATCCACCTGAAAACTACTGATGTGAAATGAGCTCCATGTAACCTAACTGTATTTTTCATGTGACATTATCTTCACTCTGTTTTTTTATTAGTGTTTGTTTGCAGGACGAAACAATCACATTCATCACGGGAACTTGGTACATGTATGTAACACATATTAATTCTTTTTTTCCTCCTCATCTCTCCTTCCCTCCATTTCTAGATCCCCTTCCCATTTGCAAAAGATGTATCTCCCTGTTTCTTACTATCTTTTATTTTGCTCTTTAAATTATTTAAACTTGGGGTTTCTTATATAAGAGGCTATGCAATATTAAGCTTGTGAAGACACTGTCCTCACTCTCAAGGGATGCGGAGAGAAATCCACAGGATAAACTACCTTCCTCTGTGCCTTAAACATGCCTCATTCCTAATCCTGACGACTGCAGCCAGTGTTCCCTCTACACAGGATCCTCTCCAGGATGTTCGCATAGCCCCACCCCCACCCCGGCGTGGAGCAGCTACAGCCCCTTAGGACGTCTTCGTGAGTTCCCTTTCTAAGACCTGCCGGCCCCTCAACGCCCCCCATTCCAGCTTGTGCTGATGTCTTCCACACGGTGACCGATGTCTCAAGTTAAACCTGTCTCCTTGTTTAAATGCATTCCTAACTAGAACGCAAGCTCCAGAAGGACGCAGTCCCTGTCTATCTTGTTCGTTGTGGCATTCCCCAGGGTTTAGAACAGTGTCTGACATGCTGTAAAAAGTAACATTTTTACTAACAAATATCATAAATACACGCATCAACACATTTTCCATTTATGTTACTGACCATCCAAAGAACCTATTTCAAAGCAAAAGTTTTAAAGGTTCAGATGAAGGCTATCCTGACAAATATTCAAAAAATAAGAGTCCTTTCTCCCTGAAACACTTCCTGTTACTACTAAGGCCACAATATTGTTGTGATAAAGGTTACTTTAAAAGGCATTCTAAATCTCCCGTAATTTCTTAGAGAAGGCAGCAGAAAGATTTGAGAGAGATTTCTGACTCCCAAATTTCTGATTTACAAAGCTGAATGAATAGTGGTGCCATCTGTCAAGACAGGAAACATTAGAGGGCCAGCTTTATTAGGGAAAGATAAAGAGTTCCACTGAAGACATAAGAACGAGGAGCACTGTGGGGCATGGACCAACCAAGGAGATAAGTGAAGAATGTTTTGGGCTTTTAAAATCTATCAAGAAAGTACCTGGATATAGGTTTTGAGCAAGAGCCAGAGCTAAAATGCATTTGAAAGGGGCCTTCAAACCTAGATGGGCTTTGAGAGCCCTTCTCACTCAGATTCTGCTGCCCTAATTTTACACTCTCCCCCCTAACTCTCCAAATGAGGTGCAGATATTTAGAAGGGCTAAAACTACTAAAAGTAAGAATTTTTCACCCCTTCCCTTTTAGAACATTTGAAGGCATTTGACCTTTAAAGTCTTAGTATTTATTGGAAAATAAGTTGGCTTTCTTCACCTCTTCCCTTGCTGCCCAGTGCAGGCTCTGTTACACACCAACAGGACGATCTTGTCGCTTCCTGCTCTGGTGGTGGGCTGATCCATTTTCCCTTGCTTTGCTGTTGTTTGTGTAGCAGAAGACAGTCTATGATGATCTAAGCCAAATTTTAAGTGGTTCAGATTGTTGTTTAAGTGAATTCCTGAAATAGAATAAAACAGCTTGTTATCTCTCTTCAAATTTCTTTCATTCATTACAAATAAATTTACTCAAAAGAAAAACTAAGAAACTGTCTTTATATAATTTAAACTGCAATCCAAAATAGGAACAAATAGTCTAGTATAAGATTACTTATCTAGCCATAAAAATAATTTTTATCACCTATTACTTCCTTTAAATTACCCTTTTTTAAAAACTAAAAATCAAAACCCTCCACTTCATTGAATGCCAGATAGTCTTTGAAGGACAGAATGCCAGATAGTTTTAGATGAACCACCAATAAAATTTAAAGTGTGATCCCATAACCAGCAATGAAATACATTTTTTAAAAATTAAGACAAGAACAGTTGGTGTAGTCTACAATGTTCCAATTGCTGTTTGTCCCTGATGCTATAAAAAAAAAAAAGATAAAACTGCACTTACCAGACCCAGACACATTATAAGACTGCCAATTTTAATAAAACCAACAAGGTTGGGTCAATCCACATTAAAGTGAACAAACATTATGTTTGGTGGCGTAATGGTCTTCATAATATTCTAAAGCAGAGCTCCCCAACATAAGAGCTACCCAGCAAATCTGCACCCAGCCCAAGGCTCTGCACCTAGTCAATAAACGCCTAAGTAAGTATCTGTTTGTTTCTTTAATCCTTTGGAAGGAGAACGAAGAAACTGGAGAACAGAAGAAACTACACTGTTGCTGTCATAAGTAATAACACCTCAAGGAAAATAAAACAAAAATGGCTTACACAAAAGTATTCATAGCACAATTCTGGCAGTAACCTAAATATCCAGCAATACAAGACTTACTATTAAGACACAGCATGATCACAGCAATTTGAAATTATAAGTATATAGTTAAAACCAAAATAAATTCCAGATAGTTTTAAAAAACACAGAGACACTAAAATTAAAAAATTGATTATCAAGTTACTAGAAGGAAGAGGACTTTTAAGCTTAAATACTATAAAGAAATCACAAAAGGCACAAGAATAGATTTTACTTCATAACTGTTTTAAAGTTTGGAATGAGAAAAAGATAACAGGAATTTGAACTGGAAGTAATGGCCTCATTTCCCAGGTTCTTGGCAGAGGTACGGGTAGGAAGACTTATTCTTCCTAGAAGTGATCAGGGTTCCTAAGACAAAAAGATGACTGCACAGAAATCACAAGAAGATGACTGCACTTGACTGCACAGAAATCACAAGAAGATGACTGCACTTGACTGCACAGAAATCAAACTCTGAGCTCAAATTACAGACCTGTCTACTATCAGTTGTAAGGCCTGGGGCCAATGACTTAACCTCTCTAAGTCACAGCTCTCTCACTTGCAAAGTGAGGAAGTAGTAACCTCCTATGCCTCCTATGCATTAAATAAAATATTCATAGGGTCTTTAGAGCAGAAGCTAACAACATTAAATAAGGGGTATATCTTTCCAACAAAAGCCCTCTCTGGTTAGAATGATAAACTTGCCATGTCCTAAATTCATTTATGAATAGAAACTTACTGTTAACCCTAAACAACCAGGGGTGAGGGAGAGAATGTTGAGGAACTTTCAGTTGAACAATCATTAGCTAGGCTCTTGCTGTGTGTTAAGAACTGCTGGGTATAGAAAGATAAAGCAAAAATGATCACAATTGCAGAGAATTCCGGTGTGGTAGAAAAGACAAAGGAGGAAAAAAGATCATTTCAACACATCCATAAGAAGAATCTCTGGACAAGGTAATGACTGGATATGGATGGGTAGATCACACACACGATCACACACACACACACACACACACACGTGTTGTACTGCAATGAGGTTAGAAAATAATTTAAACAAACAAAAGCATATGAATGAAAATGCAATGACCAGAAGATTAAAAAAAATAAGCTACTGGGCCAAAAGAAAATCAAAACCAAATCAAACTAAACTATCTAGAAAATAATAATGTAAATATGAGTAGACCAGACAAAATTGAATACTAAACTGGCAGTGGAGAAACCTGACCAACGTAATGTACAAAATCACAAAAAGGGATCAGAAACTATGGAGTTCTAGAGGCCTATGAAAACAGAGGGTAAAAAGAAAGAGAAACTAAAATAAAGACTTATGACAAGGGTACCACGGACCATTCAATGAGGAAAGAAGGGCTGTTTATGCAACTGGGATAACTGAATATACACACATGCAAAAGAATGCAGTTAGGTCCCTACCTCACACCACACACAAAAATTAACTCAAAATGTTAAGAGCAAAAACTAAAGTTAAGAGCAAAAACTATAAAACTTTTAGAAGAAAACCTAAGAGCAAATTTTTATAACCTTGAATTTGGCCACTGATCCTTAAATAAGACAGCACATCATAAGCAACGAAAGAAAAAACTGACAAACTAGATTTCAACAAAATTAAGAACTTTTGTGCAAATGAACTATGAAGAAAGTGAAAAGATAAACCACAGAATGGAATAAAATACTGTCAAATCATTTATCTAAGGGCCAGTATTACATACACGGGCTTATAAAGAACTCCTAAAACTCAACAAAAATTCAATGAAATTTAAAGAAAGAAAAAAAAGTTGAATAGAAAGTTCTCCAAATAGATTATATAAATGGCCAACAAGCACATGAAAAGATGTTCAACATCATTTATTGATCATTCCTCAGAAAAAAAAAAATGACTTAATTGATCTAAAGATGGGTTCCAGGCATCTGTTCTTCTTGTTTTTTAAGCTTCTCAGATGATTCTGGTATGTAGTCTAGGTTAAGAACAGAGGCTTCAAAGCCATTACTAATAACCAGCCCAACTAAAAGTTAACAACATTGAGACAATTAAAGGAATCTCAAATTCAATGGGTAATTTCTAGAGTGTGCGTTCTGTCAGGTCTGTTCCAAGACAAGATCTCACCCCTCTCCATCCCATTCTTCTTACCTTCATTTCTTTTTTTTTCTTTTTTGGTACCGGGGATCGAACTTGGGACCTTGCACTTGTGAGGCAGGTGGCAGAACCACTGAGCTAAATCCCCGGCCCTTACTGTCATTTCTTATTGACACTGTTTTTAATCTGAAATCTGTCTTCTCTATTTCATGCCTGAACAAACAAGATAGAAACTTCTCAACATTACAGCTCTGACAATAACTACCGTGAGTTAACATTCATTCCTTATTGCTTTTCCTATCTTACTGCACTGGATAAAACAGTCAAACAATATTAAATAATGAATATAGTAGACAAGCTTTTTTAAAATTCTTGATTTTAAAGTCACTGTTTTTTATATGTATTCTTTAAGTAAAATGTTGTTTCATAAATTTTTTTTTCATATGAAAGGACACTATATCTGTAACACAAGACCTCCACCTTATAGGGAGAAACTATCTCATTTATCTTTGCATTTTCAGCACCTTACCCAGTCTAAATATCTCTTTTTCTTAGAATTTTCTTAGAATTTTTTCTTAGAATTTCTAGCAAAAGTTTTAGCTAGCTTGTTAGTGACAGCTTTTTTCCCCTTTAAAAAACTAGTTTTGGGATTTAACTCTTCTACTGGTTTTCCGTCTTAAACTTATTTATTAATATTTTTATTTCTGATGAACAGCCAAGTATGAGAAACACAAATCCCTGAGGAAATGAGATAAATACAGAACAAAAACAAAAAACGAATAAAATACAAGAATAGTGACTTATTAAGTGTGAGGATGATACAAAAGGTGATCAACTTTGCTCTCTGTGTAAGTTCAGGAAAAGTATCTTTAAAAGGTACTTGAAACAGTCTTCATGAGTAAAGCATAAGGAATGGAAGAGCGATATTAAAACACAGAGACAGACACACACGCACACGAGACTGAAAGTAGCTTAAAGAAAACCTGCACAGGTAGGGAGAGAAAAAGTTGGTGAAGTAAGGCCTCTATGAAGTATCACAAAGAACTTTATACAATGGGCAGCTGAGGGTTAGATATTCAATAAAGAGGAATCAAGTTTGGGGTGCAGATACATCACTATTGGCCGTAGGAGAAATGGGGGTTTTATTGGAAGCAAAAAAACCAACTTGTCAGACAAAAGACAACGAAAATCAGGACACTAGTGCGTGCACTTTACCACAATAAAACAGATTTATTCCATCATATAATATCCAAAAGGGTAGAAAGTTGCCAAACCTGCAAACTCAGGTGGTATTATTTGGAAACAGGTGCTAATTTACCTCTTTGACTGAGAATTCCTTCAGGCCTAAATATTTCTGGAGTCTCAAAGGCAAAAATGCAGTCACTTTCATGGACTGTTTCCAGGTCGTCTGTATCACAAAATGAACGATGGAATCCATCATAGTACATTTCTGTTAACACAATCTAAAAAATGGGAAAAATGTAAATAGTTGGGTACCTGGGAATTCAATATGAAATGATCTCCCAATTCTACTATGAACTTTTCCAAACTGTCAGAACTTGGCAGTTTACTGAGAAGGCTCTGAAATATCTTATGGGATGCATCTTGTTTGCCTCTAATGAGAGAATCTTAGAAGCACAATATCCTCTGTAATTGTCTATCAATAAATTCTGATTTCAGAATCTTATGGCACTAAATCCAAAGTTCCTTTTAGTTTGGTGCGGAAGAGAAGCAGATTATAAAGTCTAGCCTCTTGCTTCACAGGGGCAGAGAGGTGCAGAGACCTGCCAAAGGTTCCACAACTGTTCAGCCTCTATCTGTGACCCTGAGACTTTTCTCCCATCACTAAATTTCCCTCTTTTTAAGTTAAAAGTGTCAAATAACCACAGATATTTGTATTGGAAAAAAATGAAATGTACTCAAATACCCAATAATAGAAACTACTTAAATGTAGTATAGCCCTACTAGAATGCTAAAACTACTGAAGAGTTAAGTTACATACATTTGCACTAACAAGGAAAGAACTAAGCAACTAAAAATGCAAAGAAAATTTGTAAATAAACCTATTTTTATAAAATAATGTAGTATACCCACTAAAACATCTGAATGAATACTGTGTAACACAGTGTTAAAGTTAGTAACCTTAATGTTAAGATACTTGGTAGTAAATTCTTTCACTTTCTAAATTATATTCCTGAAATGGTTAAGTATTTTACAATGAAACAAACATCAAAAGATGGCAAGAAAAACAATGGAGACATTTACAATCTTCATTGCATGCTAAGCAGCACTGTCTAGTGAGAAGGCAGAGACTGAGCTTGAGGAGGTCCCAGTCTCAGCCTGGCACCAACCAGCCCTGTGTGTGACCTTGAACAAGTCGCATGGTTTCTTTGGGCCTCCTTCTTCAAATAGGGTGGGAGGATGGCACTAGACCCCAGAATGCTTCCTACCAGCCCGAATGTTCTACAAGGTGCTCAATTCTATGAGACAAAGGGCTGGTGGCCCCAGAAGAAATGTTTCTGGCACATTTCCTTCTAATGAATTTAATGGCCATAGTGTTTTTCTGCTGCTGAATATGTAAATATAATTCACTCTTCCCAGCAAGTTTAGGTCAAAAGCAAACTTGTAATTATTTCACCAATTTAAGCCACATGTGAAAAGAGCCAGAAAGCAGTGAAGCTTTAAAGATGCAACCAGATTTGCCTTAGAGCCCACCAAAGCCTTCCTCCTCCTCTGTCTTTCCCCTCACCCTAGAGGGGAAAAAAGAATCAATGAACTCTTCAGAGTAAGGAAGGGTATGAACATTTTATCAATGTGCCAGTATTTGGCCCATGAAAACATGAGAGATTTGCTACATTAGGGCAACACTGCTAGTTGTACTTGTTTCACTGTGGTAATTCTCAAATGAGGGCGGGTGAAGCCAGAGTACAAGCACTTTTATTACTCAAACGATTACACAGTAGCTTACAGAAGCTATCTAATTTAGCCACTAAGTTCTCTTTCCTTAGTAAATTTTAAATTAAGAATTTTTTCCTAATAAAAGCATAATAATAGTGAATCAAGTAGGAAATGTATTAAAAAATGTGCCAAATCACAAACAGACCAAAAGTATTTTTAGTCAATTTAAACAAAACTACTTACCAGAGATGTGCCCTAAAAAAGGGGGATACAACTTTTCCTCATCTAAACAAGGTAAAAGACTTATCCAGCTTTAATAAGATAATGAAACAGGGCTGGGGGTACACAGCTCACTGGTACAGCTCAGTGGTACATCCTTGCTTAGGATGCGTGAGCCAAGTTTGATCCCCAACATGGGGTGGGGAAGACCACACATTGAGCATGTATAATGTACAGAACACAGAGCACTGGCAAAATGTCTGTTCTTATCATCATAACAGGAAGGAGAATTTTTTTTGGGGGGGGGGTACCGGGGATCGAACTCGGGTCCTTGTGCTTGCACAGCAGGCGGCAAAACCACTGAGCTAAATCTCCAGCCCCAGGAAGGAGTATTTTAGCATCATCACTTGAGCTTTCTGAGCCTCTCTATCAAATACCACAGAGACAGGATACTCCTTCGATGGCCCACTTAGCCATCCAAAAGAATGATTTAAGAGCTGGGGATGTGGCTCAATGGCATTATGCCTGCCTGGCAAGTCCAAGGTCCTGAATTCGATCCCCAGTATGGCAAAAAAAAAAAAAAGATAATGATTTAAGACAGGTTAAGTCATTATACTTTGCAAATAAAGCTACAAGAAGGTCTTGGTAAACAAACAAACAAATAAACAAAAAACAAAAAAAAAGAAGGTCTTGGTAAAGTCCTGCTTTTCTTTCATAGGGATGGGAAAGAAAATTTTATATAAGTATATATATTATATATATACACATACATACATGCATACATATACATTAATATAAAAAATTAAGCATGATTAATTTTTCTATACCTTCTACTCTTTTGGGTCTTGACTTTTTTCCCCTCAACGCTAGATGCAACTAGTCTAAATTTGTATCTAGCCATATCTGGCAAAGAATTGTAAAAATTCCAGAGAAACAGAAATGCTTTTGTGGCTCTGGTGTAGTCAGTCTTGGCGGGGTTATTACCTGATCAGTGGGGATCTTTGTTTCCATAGACACTGCTTCCCGAAGTCTGGCGACAGTCCCAGACAGAGGCACGGCCACACCGATCCTCATGCAGTGAGAACACTTCCCTTGATACACTACAGTGACATAGAGAGGCCTGTACAGATCAAAGTCAGATCTTCTCATTAGTCACTTATTTTAACTAAAGTATAAAAGAACTAAAACCAGCCTGACCTGAAATCAACACAAAAACTGAAGCTAACCCACACATTTACCTGGAAGCCAAATGGAAAAAGTTCATTAGGACCTAAATAAAACTATACAGTATAACAAAGACATCTCTGGAAAATGCAATCTTCATAAAACAAAAAAGTTCTGTCCTTTGTATTTTCTTTAAAACGGCATAACTCCTGGAAATTTTGAGAAAGAGTTCAAAATAAACCTAATAAAACCAATTAAAAATACAATGCAAGGTCTCCAGAAAATCTAGAAGTCACTCAACAGCCCCCCCTCCTCCCCAGACTGCCCATGGAAAACCAGGACAGACGGTGGCACAGGCTCCCTTGTCTCATGTGTCTGCTCATCCTCCAAATGCAGACAGGCATTTCTTTAAGGGCCTAACAAAGCCTGGACTCAAGCTGTCGTTAAAACTATCACTTGTAAAAATTAAGACCTAATAAGAGCTTACAAAAGAAAAGTACACTATCAGAATGCACTTCTTGTTAAGTTTTACTCTATCTGTTCTTACCTTGTGTGGGGTAGAGGAATAGGCAAAGAAATGCAGAGGAAAGGGTCGAAAGTGTTGCTCTGTTTCTGACAGTGAGGACATGTCAAAGAAGATCTTTTAAAACAAAAATGTAAGACTCGGTAAGATCACCTAGAACTATGCCAAGCAGATAAAATAAGAGGGAACATTTGATCTGCTCATACCGGTACTGGGCTTGAAAAAGTTCTTGTACAAAAGTGCTACACACAGGAAAAGATGGTCCCTCAGGCATCATATCAGTCTCTGATGGTGGCTTTAAAAGAAAAAAAAGTAGAATTCACAGACTAGAAGTACAGTACTGATTCTTAATTGACAATGAGCCTAAAGAGTCACAATGTCCTTGACTTCAAAGCAGATGCTTTGGTAATGGGCACCTGCTATGGGAGGCAGAACACAGCGGACAACACTGTGGGTCACGCGGACTCATTCTCAGACTCCGCCACTAACCATGTTTATCCACCTCCACCCCATTCAGGGATGCTCCAATCCTGCCCCAATTCTCAAAGACCCTCTCTCAATCTCTTCAAGGAAATAATCCCAACCACTTTAAAATACCAATTCTTCCCACACTCTCCCAGCTGTGCTGATATTCACTCTGACGCCTAATTATGCTCTACTTCACATTATTTAACCTTTTCATGTCCTTCCACCTAACAACTAGTTATGAGCACCAGCTAACACATGCAGAAAGCACTGTACAGGACATTAGGATACAAAGATAAAAAAGACAGTGCCTGAGGGTGTCTCAACTTGATGGGAAAAGTCAGCCACATATATTTGGTCATGCGATAGAACAGTGTTCAGGCACAAAAGGATCTGAATTAGAATAACAACTCACAGGGCCAGGGATTTAGCACAGTGGTTCCGGCACCTGCCTTGCAAGTGCAAGGTCCTGGGTTTGATCCCCAGTACCAAAAAAAATAACAACTCACCAAAAAAAGAAATTGAAAATTTGAAGCACAGAGCAGAATTACAAAAACTTTAAAAGTTGTGTAGGAGAATAACTTAATTTTTTTCCATTATAGAAATACTTTACTTGTTACATTAAGACCAATTATAAAAACTGAGTGTGAATTATTATGTTTCTCAGTAAGATCATTCTAAAGGTTCAGTTCTTATGCTCAACTCCAGTGTTAACTGCAGAGATATCCATACATTTCCTTTCTGATTGTATATTCATTCTAGTGATCTATAAAGTATATGTCTTATTAGAATAGAAAGCAAGTGTTTTCCCTCTCACAAGACGATGAGTTCCACGGAGATAACACCTCTCCTACCTTACCTTGATAGCACAGTAGTTAACAAAGTGAATTGTCCCTTCAACTCTCCATCTGAGTTTACACTAACCCAGAGCTTTATGAGTTCTGTTCTATTAACTAAAGCAGCAAGTCCTCAGCAGAGGTTTGGAAGAAGATGCCCCATTTTCCCTTACTAGTTCACTGGTGCTCACCCCAACTGACCCAGGGGACTGCACACCCTCACCTTCAGAGGAGGCTGGCCACTCTGCTTTACAGCATGATTAAGATCTTCATGAACTCGATCCAAAAGCCACAGCAGAAACTCTTGGGCATCATGCTGGGAATTTCCCCGATATTGCAGTGCGTTCTTTGACACAATACTCTGTGCAGGTAAATAAATCAGCACAAATAGTTGTGAGTTCCTGACTTTGAAGATAAACTATTTATCATAATTCCAAAAGAAGACTACAAGATCTCAAGGGAGAAAACTTCATTGAGGGCAAGCAATATAAAAACAGATAATTAAAAAACTTCACCCCCAGAAACATGTACTAAAAACCTTAAAATGCACTTCTCCAGCAACCCTACTTTCAGGAATATGTTTAAAGGAAACCATTGAGACAGCATGCCAAGACTTCTAAGGAGACATTCATCAGATTTAGAACAGCAAAAGATCAGTAATAACTTGAACATCTTAAATCATGGTACAACTGTATGACATAGCCATTCTGAGTAATGCATCCATATGAAAATGGGAAAGGGGTTATTAGAAGTGTGAAATATAAGTGTACATATCCTTGCAAAGAATTGTGTGTTGTTCAGGGCCACTAATTTAGCTCAGTGGTTCCGCCGCATGCTCCACAAGTGCAAGGACCCAACTTCGATCCCCGGTACCAAAAAAAAAAAAAAAAAAATTGTGTGTTGTTCATATAAATATATAAAAAGTTCTAAAATGCCATATTTCAATACATTAAGTTTTATCCCTGGGTGTCAGAGGTGCTTTTTTTTCTTCTTACATTTCATGGTTTCTAAACTATAATTTCTACAGTGAACATAGAGTACTTACATAAGAAATTAGTTTAAAAGTTTTGTTTCAAACTTTACATTAAGATTTATTTAAACTGATTTTGCTAAAATGCTACACTTTTCAAGATTCATCACTCATTCAACGAAGATTTAATAAGTGCTAAAGGTGCTGACTAGCAGAGATGGGGGAAAAAAAACAAAGCTTAAAAGTAGAGCAGGACAGACATATGGTGGTGAGAGTCAAGCTTCTCACAGTGAAAGGGAATTTACAGACAAGCAAGGAGAAAGAGTTAGAGTGAATCACAACTGTCCGCATGAACTCATCTCTAGCCTAATATAATAAAGATGGACAAATAATCACATTTATACATGCTTGGGCTTATAGGCATACAAATTTCTAGCTCTGTTTACTGAAAGGCACAGAAGTAGTGACACCCTCATAACAATTTACACACCCTGTACACAGACTTCGGCTTCTAATACCTTTTTCCAATTAAAACAAACAAACAAAAAACCACAGCTTTCTGGAGAAATGGCTGATTCTAGAGCTGAGACAGTGTGGGGCAACAACCTGAAAGAGCTCCCTATGGCCTAAGATGGAATAACATGAGCAACAAAATAAATAATAACATTGGTTAATGATTCAAAGTAAAAATAGTCTACACTGATATAATTAAATAACTGAATGAATAAATAAATGAGGGAGAAGAAACAAATCTTTCTTACAGAGAAATTCTAAGGAACTAATGTCAATAATGCGCCCGTCCGAAAGGTAGAGTTCACCACCCCAAACTTGAGGCTGGGCTGTAGTAATGACTTGCCTACAAAGAATCAAGAATGAAGAGTAGAGAGTAACCTTACAAGAAATCTGCACTGCAAAAGAAATCACCAACAGAGTAAAGAGACAACCCACAGAGCATGAAACAATTTTAGCCAGTAGCCTCTCAGAAAAAAGACTAATATCTAGAACATACAAAGAATTGAAAAAAAAATCAGATTCCCCCCAAATTTAAAGACCCAATCTGAAAGTGGACATCTGAAATGAATCGACACTTCTCAAGTGAAGAAGTACAAACGGCAAATAAATATATGAAAAAATGTAAAACATCACTGGTCATCTGAGAGATGCAAATTAAAACAATGCTGAGATTCCATCTCACCCCAGAAAGAATGGCTAATGTCAAGAAATCAACCAAAAACAAATGCTGGCAAGGCTGTAGGGAAAAAGGAACCCTTCTCCACTGTTGGTAGGAGTGCAGACTGGTGCAACCACTGTGGGAATCATTGTGGAGATTCCTCAAAAAAATAGGATTTGAGGTCCCATTTGACCCAGCTGGGTATCTTCTTGAAAGAATTAAAACCATCATACCACAATGTCATATGTGTACCCATGTTTATAGCAGCACAGTTTGTAATAGCTAAAGCTTGGAAACAGCCCAAGTGCCCATCAACCGATGAATGGATAAGAAAGATGTAGGGTTTTTTATACAATGGAGTACTACTCAGCCATAAAGAAAGGTAAACTTGAGACATTTATAGCTAAAGAGATGCACCTTGAGATCATATTCTTAAGTGAAATAAATCAGACACACAGTGTAAATATCTCATTGCCTCTCTAGTGTGAGAAACTGAAAGGGCAAATAAGGACCAAAATGTATAATGGAAGAAATTGTTCAATAGGAAAGGGAAACTGGGAAGGGGGAAGGGGGAAAAGAAGGAAGAGAAAAGAAAAAAAAAACAGGAAAAAAATGGAAACAAAGCTTTTATAAATAAGGAGGGGAGGGGATTGGGAGAAAAAGAAGAATTAAGATATACCATGAACAGATACAAATTCCTTTTGATGAATGTGATTATTATGTATATTTAAATTGTACTAATAAAATTAAAGTTAAAAAAAAAGAAATCTGACTAACACTGGCTCAAGCAGTTGAACAAGGTTAATATCAACAATAGCAGGGGGTTCAGCAAAACTCCTGGTGCTGCCTCCTCCCAGCCCACCAGGGGCCGAGGTGCTTCTGCGGGTGGGGGAAGGCAGGACTGATGCAGACCACCATTGCTTTTGGACTCGTGCATAGGTGACAACAGCAACAGGACAAGAAGTTCTTAGCCTCTACCTTAGCATTTTCAGGCTTTCGAGGAAATGGCAGGCAGCATCAGGGCAGATGGAAGACAATATCGAAGAAAAACAGTACATACTAAACGAAGCTAGAACACTGTTTCAGAAAAACAAAAATCTCATAGACACAGACCCCCACCAGCACACAGGAGGTGAGCTGCTCCCAGCACACAAGAGGCTTCTGGGCCGCTGTACCACCACCCCTCCCCCCAGCACAGAGGAGGTGAGCTGCAAGGGCACCAGCAGCACACCCCCTCCTCGAAATGAGAAAACACGCAAACAAGTCTCAAAACCAGACTTCCAGATCACCTACAGCAACCCCAAAAGGAAACCACATGGAACACTCTGATACTCAACCACCTGGACTCCCTGAACTGGCAACAAAAGAAGATCTGGAAAAAATGAAATCAGAAATAATTTCTCAGATTACAGCAGAGATTGTCCCCACAGTGCAAGACATGATTAATAAATCTAGAGAGGACACATAAAAAAATAGAGGCGCTCAAGAACATGATCATAGGAAACAAACAGAATCCATAAAAGAGATGCAAACAGATTTCCAGGAGATTAAAAACTCCATTGAAAGTCTATGCAGCAGAATGAGCCAATGTGGACAGAATTTCACATATAGAAGATAAGATTGAAATTAGTGACCAGGAAAAGAAAAATTGCTTTAAAATTGTAAGGGAACATGAGAAATCAATCCAGCAGCTGCTAGACAATGCAAAGAAGAATAACATAAGACTGACTGGAGTCAATGAAGAAACAGGAGAGAGTGCAGAAGACATAAAAAAACTGTTCACAGAAGTGATGGCAGAAAACTTCCCAAGCAGGGGAAAAGAACTTGACATACAGATAAGTGAGGCATATAGGACTCCAACTAGCCTTGATCAAAAAAAAACCCTTCACATAGGCATATAATTGTTAAGATTCCAGAAACACAACAGAAGAACAAAGTTCTACAAGCAGTTAAAGAAAAGAAACAAGTCACATACAAAGGAAAGCCCATCAGAATCACAGCAGACTTCTCAACGCAAACCCTCAAGGCAAGAAGAGCTTGGAGTGATGTATTTCAAGCCCTAAAGGAAAACAGCCTCCAACCCAGACTGATGTACCCTGCAAAACTATCTTTCAAAATTGATGGAGAAATAAGATATTTTCATGACAAAGAGCACCTCAGGAACTTCATGAATACCAAACCGGCACTCCAAAAAATTTTAGACAATACCCTACGAAAAGACAATGAGGACCACAACCCCAGGAAGCTCAGCAGAACGAATCCATCAGGTGCAACAAGAAATTAAATGTAAAGAGAGAGAATCCAACACACAGAAAAAGTCATGACAATGTTAAGTCAATATGTATGAGTTATAACCATCAATGTTAATGGTCTCAATTCATTAATCAAAAGAAATAGACTGGCAGAATGGGTCAAGAAGCAAGATCTAACAATATGCTGCATACAAGAAACACACTTAATTCAAAAAGAAACTCATAGTCTGAAAGTTAAAGGGTGGAAAACAATACTCCATGTGACAGGAACACCCCCTCAAAGAAAAAAAGGAGTAGCTACCCTCTTTGTAGATCAAGTGGATTTCAAACGAAAATCTGAAACAATCTGGTCCCAAGAATTTCAGATAAGGGATACTCAACTTGTTATGTACAAATCTATTGTGAACATGTGTTTTCATTCCTCTCAAGTAAAAACTTAAGAACAGGACTGTTGGTTCTTAACAGTAATACAAGAAATTTCTATATTGTTTTCCAAAATGGTTTTATCATTTTACATTCACATTAGCAGTATTAGAAAGTTCTAACTGGTTCACACCTAAGCTGACATTTGTTCTTTTAAAACTTTTAACTTCATCTCCCTAATGAGTGTATAATTCAATCTTGTTATTGTACTGACTAGTATTTTTCTGATTCTAGTGTTGCACACCTTTCCTTGTGCTGTACTGGCTACTTATCATCTTCTTGTGCCTACTTTTTAATTGGGTTGTCTATTAATGAGCTGTAAGAGTTCTTTATATATTCTGGTCATAAGTTATACGCATTGTAAAAATGGTCTGTTTAAGGACTACTTTTCATTTTAACGATGTCATTTAAAGTTGAGTCTATTGATTTACCTCCTAATATAAATAAATTCAATGAGAGTCTCAATTTTCCCCTTTGTTGATGATCTTTACTGTATACTTACCAATAAGTAAAGTCAAAAATCTTGCAGGGTTATTAAGTTTTAC